CCTTAAATGAATAAACTCCTCTCTTATCCCTGGTGGTTCAGGCCTTCAGAGTCCTGGGCCCCGTTAGTGGCAGAAGCACGGCTCCCAGTGACCTGAACAGAGACTAAAGAAACGGCCTTCACTTAGCCCATCCTTTAGACAAATGACAACACTCTGACTCATAATTAGAAAGCAGGACACCCCTCATTTCTAAATCAGAGTGGCCTCTGATGGGGCGACTCTTATTTAAAGGGGCAACTTAGGACGTCCCCGGCAGTCCAGAAGTTAGGACTCCGTCCCCCACTGCAGGCGGCCTGGGTTTAGTCCCTGGTTGGGGAACTAAGATCCCGCAAATAAAATAAAGTGGCAACTTGCCAAGTGTTTCTGTTTCTTTGAATTTCTGTATGCCGTGAATGCCCCCCACATGCCGGGGGCCTACCTGAACGCCCCTTCCCTCGGAGCAGCCCCACTCTCGGGCCCCTGTCACCTTTGTGGAGCCTGGTCCATCCTCAGCACCCACAGTCACCCTTCAAAGGCTGGGTGTGCCTCCCACCCTGGCGTCCCGCCCTCTGTGTCCTGCCCTCCGCCCCTGTCACCGCCCTCCCAGGGGTCCTAGCGGAGTAGCGGCTCAACCTGGCTGGATCTCAGTCACAGAGAAGCATGTCATGATTTAACTAGGCTTTCAGGCTGGATGTCCCCGAGGCAGGGAAATCCTGGCCAAGTTCTCCAGCCACGAGTACACAGATGGGCTCTTCCAACCACACCTGCTGACAAGTCAGGACCCACCTTTGTACCTGAGGTGCAATGCATCACGTGCCTCACTTCTACTGCAGCCGCTGTGTCCCCAGGGTTTGGGGAGCAGCCACCACCCCACAAAGATGTTAGTGTGGGGTAAGTTCTTAGGCCAAAAACAACATTCTGGATTCCAGAAGTTTCTCTCCTAAAATAAGCATGGATATTTATTTTAAGACAGCGTAAATCAGGCCCATGTCCATATGGTGCTGTTACCACGCTTCCAAAGACAAACCCTGAGAACCAGCACCCAAGCAGCTGACACTCCCGGGAGGGCGTGGGCTCCCGGCCCTTCTCGTCCCCATACGGGTTCACTTGTCCTCCCAGCCCTGCCTCGCCCATCTGGCTGCGGGGAGGGACGGAGGCACAGGCGGGCAGGGAAGCGGGTCTCCCTGGGGCTGGTGCACAAGCTCCAGCGCTGGCAACAGTGGGGAAGAACACAGCTCAGAAGGCCAAGGTGCTGCCCACGCGCCTGTCCCATCCAGCAAGGAGAGAGCAGCCCATCCAGCACCATCACGAGGTGCCCAAGAGCCTTGTGGCCCAGGCTGCTGCTGGTCTATGAGAATCCCATGAATTAACAGCAGCCCTAAGACACGAGTGGTCTGATTAGTCCCACCGTTCAGACAGGGAAACGGACACCCCAAGAGCTAGTAAGCAAGCTGTGCAGCTGGATTCAAAGCTGAGAATCTACACCCTGGACCCCTGTAAACACGTGTCTGTAGACACGTGAGCAGGTGTGAACATCACAAACGGATGCAAACCAAAGGCACACTGTACCTGTCTTACAACCTAGCAGGTTGGCAAAAATTTTAAAAAGTTGACAACCCCACTGGCGAAGGCACCTGGGACATCACTTCCATCTGGCAGCACCCACTGGCGCTCCCAGGCGCAGGCCCCAGGCCCAGGGTCCATCGCCGGCATTCCGCAAAGTAACCCGGAAAAGGCTGTTACAACATTGCCTATAATAACGAGAGATTAGAAACCATCTCCCGTCTCACCAAGAGAGACTGGCCAAACGCACTGATGGACTTATCGGAACTGTTTCTAAGGTGGGGCCTCAGCCACTTCCTTCTCACCATCTACTTTTTTGTAACTTTTGATTTTGATACCAACTGTAGGTACTGATCACAAACACACACACACAGCACATGGGCCCACAGGCGTTGGGGGGGGGGCATGGAAGGTGTCCATCAAAGAGCAACAGCACGTGTACAATTTGCTTCGGGCAGTACCAGCTTCCCTTCGCACACATGGACTTCCTACTTAAATTACAGGGTGAAAAGCTTTTTTCCACGTCCCTGGAACCGCAGCCTTCCTGGACTCCTGGACCCGCTGGGAGGGGCGAGAAGACTCCTTCAGTTCTCCCGGCCGCCTCCTGCGCCCTCAGATGAAGCCCCCTCTGCCCTCATGCCCCACCAGCTGCCCCCACGTCCCCCCGTAACCAGCCTCCTCATTCCCCCAGCGTGGTCTGCCTCCACCTCCTCCCACCAGACTGCTGAGGAGGGCGCTGGCACTGAGCCTTTCTTTTCTAAGAACCTGTGATACATTCTTTTTAATTTCTCCCACTAACTAAGTTTCCCAGCCGTGGCCCTGGGATGCCTCCTAGCAGAGGTTGCCTTTTTCCTCGCTAAGAAGGGAAGATGCAGGCATGACAGAGGGAGGGCTGCCCTGTCTTCAGCTGGAAGTGGGAGGAAAGAGCCTGGGAATCTTACGCCATTTTATTAAGCACATGCTAATTGAAACATAATTAAGCATCCCTGTGCTGGGGAAGGGAAGGGAAAAAACAGTGGCAGAGAGAAGCCAGAATGGGGCCGGTGCTGGGGGTTTGGGACCCGTGTGGCTGCGGGAGTCAGGCTGCTGAGGGGGCTCGACCCAACCAAGCCACACACGCAGAGCCTGTGGGGCCTCAAGCTGAGCTGGTACCCAGTCTGTAAAATGGGGGTGAATCGTGAGTCCCACGGAGGACCCAAGAATCACACCAGGTGTCAGGTTGCTGTTGCAGTAGCCGAGGGTTGGCAAGCTGTCTCAACGCCTCACAAACCCCATGGGGAACCCTGGTCCTGGTTCTCAGGCTTCCCAGGTATGGACTACTACGTGGCTTGGCTCCATCACCGGCGACAGGCTTTCAGCAGTGCCGGTGCCACTATCACGGGAGTGATGTCGCCGGCAGCTGACTGGACCTCATTCTCTCGACTTCTTTCCTGAATTCAACTCACACTGCCCTCCCCGGAACCCTCAGCCTCCAGTGACCTGGTGGTTCAGAACTTTCTCCATCCACCCCTCACTCAACTCTCTGCTCACAATTCCCACTCCCTGCAGGTTTTGCTGATTAGCAGATCTAACTACTTTCTAAGAAGTTAAAAGCAAGTGACTTGCAAATAAAGTGTCAGAGATGAGAAGGTTTTAAGCAAGGAACTTCTACTGCTTCTTCATATTTGAAACTATGTTCCACTCATCAGCCTACCAGGGAGAAAAAGACACTGCATGGAAAGTCCTTGCCCTCTGTACCGGCCACCCCCGCCCCTCGAGAGGATCCTGGCGGAACCTGGTGAAGGCAGGTAGGGGTCAAAGGCTCTCAACATAAAGAGCTTTATAAATTTTAGTGCTTCAAAAATGGAAAAAGTAATGTCTGGAGTTTAGTCAAAGGCATATACCTCTAACAGTTTTTAATTTTGGCAAACATACCATGGCAACATGGGGTGGTAACACCGGGGACACGGAGTGCGGGGCATGTTGGGACTGTCTGTACTATCCTTGCAACTTTTATGTAAATCTAAGTTTCCAAAATAAAGAAGTTGATTTAAAATCAGAAAGACGGGGACTTCCCTGAGACTGCAGTGGTTAAGAATCCGCCTGCCAATGCAGGGGACACGGGTTTGGGCCCTGGTCCGGGAAGATCCCACATGCCATGGAGCAACTAAGCCCGTGCGCCACAACTACTGAGCCTGCGCTCTAGAGCCCAAGAGCCACAACTACTGAGCCCGTGTGCCACAACTACTGAAGCCTGAACACCTAGACCGGGCTCCGCAACAAGCCACTGCGAGAAGCCCGCACACCACAACAAAGAGTAGCCCCCACTCGCCACAGCTAGAGAAAGCCCGCGCGCAGCAACAAAGACCCAATGCAGCCTAAAATAAATAAAATTAAAAAAAAATAAAATCAGAAAAACGATTAATCAGATTGGTGATTAAGATCATTCAGTTACTTTTTTAAAGTGCCCACTACAGGCCAAGACTTGTGCTACAGCTGTGCTAAGATGGGGTCCCCCTGGTCCTGGCTGAGGGGCTCCCACACGCAGAAGACACTCTAGCCCCTGAGATGCAAGGGGAGGCAGCGGGAGGGGCTCCCAGAGCCTGAGTTAGCTCCCCTCAGACCAGGTCCCACGGCGAGGGTCGGAGGGACCCGGGCAGGATCGCAACACTCAACACCGGGATTAAGCACAGCTGTCGCGGAGGAGCAGGGGCTCAACCAACGTGTGTTCCATCTCTTGGAGCAGAGCGGAGGCCGCAGCAGGCACAGGTGCAGGGAGAGCAGCAGCTTGCTCAGGCATGCACCTGAAGGCCATCCCCGGAGGAAGGAGGCCTGGGTGGGAGTTCAAGAGATTGAGGGTTATGGGTGGAAAGAATAACATTCTTAGCAAGGAAACAACAGGTTGAGGTATGTATATTTCATACAGAAGAAAAATGCAACTGCACAGAAGAAGCTTGGGGTGGGGACGCCAACGTCGTCCACACCGTGGTCCATCTAAGACGGAACTGCAGCCCTTACCCACGCAGAACTTGACACGTAACCTGGACTCCCGGCGATGCCCGTTGGAGACCGGCCCCGCCCGGGAGAGGAGTCAGGCTCCTGCAGGCTCTGCGCCCGTGAAACTCAGTCGGTGCCACAAGTGGGGAACGAATGCGGAGCGAGGCATTTCGGCCTCGCCCTTCACGTGGGCAACTTGAAACGCCCCCCTTCCGTGAACACGCTGGGAGGCCCCTTTTGTCCTCATTTCCCTCCCCAGGCGCGACCTTTCTTTTAGGGGAAAAGCCTGTTACCGTCAGGCGGGCGGCTCCTCCCGAGCCTTCTCCAGGGCGGGGTGGGGAGGGGCGGGAGGAGGGAGAACCGGGGAAACGGTCCTGACCCGGAGTCGCGGTCCGCGCCGAACGCAGGTGGTCTCGCCGCAGCGCGCCCCCCGCCCCACGGCCGACACCGCCCGGTGCGCCCGCCGGGCCCGCCCTACTCACCGCCGCCCGCCGGTCCGCGCCCCAGCCCGCAGCGCCCATCGGCCCGGCCTCGCTCAGCGCGGGCGCGGCTCTCCGGCGGCCCCGGCGCGGCCCGGGACGCGCTGCGGCCGTTGCCTCTCCAGCTGCGCGCGAGACATGTCCGCCGCCGCCGCCGCCGCCCCCGGGCCGCCTGCCCTTTGTTTTGAAGCCGCTGCCCCGCCGCGCCGCCGTTAACGGCCTGGGAGCGCGGCGCCGACCAATCAGCGCGCGCCCCTACCCCCGGACACGCCGCGCGCCCCGCCCCTCGCCCCGCCCCGACGGCGCGCCCCCGTCCCGCGCGCCCCCGCCCACAGCTCGGCCGGCTCGCCCTCGGCTGGGCAGGGCAAGGCGCACGTGCCGCGGTGGGGGGGAGCGTCGCGCTCCCATTGGCCGGCCCGCCGAGCGCGGCCTCGGAGCCCGCCAGTGAGAGTCGAGGGCAGCGGGGGCGGGGCCGCGAGGGGCGGGTGTGGGGCGGGGCTAGGGCGGGGCGGGCTCAAAAAGAGGAGCGCGGCGCGCAGGCGCGGGTTGTCCAGGGCTGAGATCTCGGCAAGCGGTTTATGTGGCGGTCGGAATCACGAGTCCGGGAAGCTGGCGGTCGCCTGCTCTTCCCGGCACACGTGGGTCGGCCGAGGCCACGCCGGCTCACAGCCCCGGGGGCTGGGGGAGGGGGCGCGGGCCGGGCTTCCTGGCCGGACCCCTCGACGACCCCGTCCCGAGGGCGGGTCCTCCGCGTCGCCACCCCGCCCCCATCCCGGGCGCTCCAAGCTGCTAGACCTGAGCGCCTTGGATGCACACGTGGCCCGTGGGGAAGCCCCGGACAGCCCGCCCCGCCCCGCGTCCGCACTCCGCCCCGCAGGCCTCCCCTGTGTTCATTGTGTGGGTCCCCCGGCCTTTCTCCGTAGATTGATGTTTAAATCCCAGCATCAGCATCAGCCCACCCCGTTTGGGTCACAGCGTAGATACCCTTTCTATACATGGTAGCGCCCTTGATCTTGTTTCCTTCCCGCGATGCAATGTATCCGCACAGCTCTCGGTGCCTCTGGGTGAGTCCCATCTGCTGTTGGAGCGCGGCCGTTCTCCCGGCCACGTCCCCAGCTCCCGGCTTCCACAGAGCCCGCTGCTAAGTGACTTGAAGACGGTTCTTGCACCTTTTCATGAACTATTGAGCCTTTCAGGTCTCCTTCCATCTCCAACTGCGTTTCTTTTTTCTTGTGAATTTTCAAGATTCCTTTGATTGTCTAAAATATTAAGCTTTGGTTGTTTTTGCTATTGCAAATATTTTTTCTCAGCCAGTCCTCTGCTGAAAAAAAAATCCTAATTTTGATGTGAGCCAAAGTTTTATAATTTTGTATCCTGCTTTTTTTCTGTTATTGCAGGTTTTTTTTTTTTATTGCAGGTTTTTTAACATTTTTCCTGGCTGCTCAATATTAACCTAAATATCTAGCTATGAGTGGTAGTTGGGCACTTCGATTAGTTTTGCACTATTTCTTCAAACCCCTTCATTCTTTGAAAAATTTAGCACGAGATTCGCTGTAGTTCTTTGCATTTCCTGGCTTCCTTCTTGGAGACACAGCTTTCCCTTAGAATGGAAGTGAGTGCAGCCACAGTGCCCTGGCCTGTCAGCTCACTGGCCCTCTCCTGCAAGGATCTTGCCCTTTGTGCGAGCCCAGACACGAACCCCCTCGCTGGCCACTGACCAGTGCCTTTCAAATGTTTTTAACTATGACCACAGTAAAATTTACATGTTATGGGTACAAAATTTCTGTTTCGGATGATGAAAAATCGGGGGGATGGTTGCACTTAAGAATGTGCATGCACTTAACACCACTGCATTACAAACTTAAGAATGGTTAAAATGGCAAATGTTACGTTATTGTGCTTTACTATAGTAAAAAATAGTACAAAACACATTCTACATTATGATCCAGCACCCACATGTATAGGACAAGTTTCATGATCTAATCTGCATCCTTGTGCAAGGCCCTAATATTTTCTATACTCTCCTGTTTTATTTTACTTAACCACAGCCTGCATATGACTCCCTACACAATTTCACAAGCCCTCCATCCGCGACAGCCAGCAGGCTGCCACCCACTGCCTGGTCACCACCCTCCATACCCTCAGTTACGGGCAGCCCGCTCTGGGACACCACTCTGCTCCCTGGCCCCCTCCTGCTGGCGTCCCCACCACAGCCGCCGTCACCACACTCAGGGCCACACTCACTGTTCCCCCCCACCTACCCACCCTCATGTCTCACCTCCTGCCTCAGCCCCCTTCTCACACCACAAACTTTCTGGGAAGACCCTGTCCCGGGTGGATGGGACTCTGCGTGGCTCGGGGAGACTGGGTTCCGGGGCAGTGCCCTCCTCCTGGCTACCCTACCTGCCACACCTCTTGTGTCCGTCTAAGCCCCCTTCCTGGATGGCACTCCTCCCTCCTTCTGCTCCTCCCCCTCTGCTGTGTCCTGCTCCCAGCCGTCTCCCTGCCCACCTGCCACCACCAGTCCATGTGGTCCACCAGTGCACACACCCTTTCTACTGTATCCTCGGTCCCCTCTTCCCTGGGTGGTCCCAGCAGATTATGGGACCTGCTGTCATCTCCACACCCCTCTCCGCTGTCACCATGCTTCCCCGCAACCCTGCAGAGCCAGCCCGGCTCCTCCCACTCTGAGATTCCCATCCCACCCTCCCCACCAAACCTCGGGTCTGATCCTAGCCACATCTGACAGGACAGTCCGAGCAGCATTTCACTCAGCTGGTCACCTTCTTTAACCGCTTTCTCACTCTGGTCCCGGGCTCTGCTCTCTCCTCCTCTCTGGCCCCGCGTCACTGGCTCTCCCACCCTCCTGAGGATGGGGCCCCAACAGCTCCCAGCACAGACAACTCCCTTGAGCCCTGCACTCCAGGCTCACGTCCAGCTGCCGACTGCATCCCCCTCAGAGGTCCATGAGACCTCAAGCTCTGCACACCCTCCATCAAGCTGCCTTCTTCCTCACCTCGGCAGAAGGTGCTGCCCCCTCCCAGCACCGGCCAGAACCCCCAGCCCCTCACCTCCTCTCTCCCCATCACACCCCACAGCCGCCCCCACGCCCAGGGCCACACCACACTCCTCTCGTCTAGATCCTTGCCCCAGCCCACGTGGCCCTGAGCTGCAGGCTTTGCCTCCTTAACTGTGTTCTCTGTGGACAGATGGTTTTAAAACAACAACCAGATCCGCCACCTCTGAAAGCTCCCAGGAGCTTTCTGCTTTGCACAGACTAAAAGCCAGAGTCCCTCCAATGCCCCACATGGCATGGCTGGTCCCCAGCTCCCCTAACTTCCCGCTTCTGTCCCCTCAAGCTTTGAGGCAGCTGGACGTTGGGAGAGGACTTCCGACACCAACTGCAGGCTTGGGGTCTCCAAGATGACCCTCAGGTTTGACCGTCTCAGAGAAGGACTCGTGGAAAGTGTTACACACTCATGGTTTCAGTTTACAGCAGAGAAAGGATCCAGATTAAACTCGGCCTTCACAGGGTCAGGGCAGAGTTCTTCCTGGGGCTCCATCACACAGGCATGACTTACTGATCTTAGGCTCCAGTCCCCCAGGCAAATGGACGCTCTTGTGAGGGCTGAGAGACCACCTCCCAGAAGCAAGGGGCGATGGTAAGTTCTTTCCCAGGAAGCCCCCCCTTGCTCACCGCCTCCAGACACAGCGCCTCCTGTCATTCCGCTCCGTCTCATCTCTGGGACTCCGCACCTGCCATCCCCTCTCCCGAAGGCCCCTCATTCCCGGGATTCTTCTCAAATGTGTCCCCATGCCCTCCAAGCTCGGGGGACAACCATGTCCACCACTCACCCCCTCACATCCCCTGGACTTGTTTTCCCTCCTTAACACCCCCCAGCAAGCGTCTTCTTGGTTTGGTTTCTTGCCCCCTCCCCTCACCTGGACACCAGCCACGGAAGGCAGGGGCTTGGTTCCTTCTCAGCTGTGTCCCAGAGGCAGGGGTGCAGGCAGCCTCCGCGAGGACCCAGTCAGGTGGGTGTCAACGGGCTGAACTGTGTCCCCCCAGATGTGACTATACTTGGAGATGGGGGTCTTTAAAGGTGATTAGATTAAAATGAGGCCATTACGGTGGGCCCTAATCTAGTCTGACTGATGTCCTTATAAGATAAGAAGATGGAGACACAGAGGGTGATCATACAGGGACACAGGGAGAAGATGACTGTCTACAAGCCAAGGAGAGAGGCCTCAGGAGAAACCAAACTGGCGGACACCCTGATCTGAGACTCCCAGCCTCCAGACCGTGAGATATAAATCCTGCTGTTTAAGCTGCCCAGTCTGTGGTGCTTTGTTATCACGGCCCCAGCAAGCAAATACACTGGGTTTTAGGGGTAGACAAAGACCAAAAGCAATTCTCCAACAGGGTCCCCCCACCTGCCTTCCATCCCTGTCTGCCTAAGACCCCTGGGTAGCCTGGCCAAGCAGCCTGCGTAGGGAATTCAAGGCAGGCCGGTGTGTGGCTGTGGGGCCTGGAGCCCTCAGCCAAGAGAGGGGACGAAGGTTCGCTGTAGCCCCTTGAGGTCTAAAATCTATGCGTCGCTGCTGGTTTCCTGTGTGATATTCCAGCCCATCAGGAAGTAGCTGCTGTCGGCATAGCAACCACAAGCCATCTTACGTTCCTTCCAAATTAAAAAAATTTCCCAGCTTCAGGACTGATGAAAGAAAGATGTAAAAGCAGAGATGAAATTAAATTACCGATGGAAGCTGTTGCCATGGCATCCTGCTGTCCTTGGAGCCTGTCAGCTGCTGCTGTGATTTCTCCATTCTTGGTCCAAATGAAGGGGTCCGAGAGAAGTTAAAACCAGCCTCTCGCAGTGAGGGAGAAAAATCAAGGCTGCGTTTTCACGAGAAATTGTAACTAACGATAGAAATTTATATTTTGAGAATAACTGTATAATCAATGGACAGAGACTTTCAAAATTTAAACAAATCACCTGGGAATTTGTTAAAACGTTTGCCGAAATGCAGTATGTCTGAGGTGGGGCCTGAGATTCTGCATTTTAATGTTTAATTGTGGGAAAATAAACATACCGTCAAGTTTGCCACCTTATAGCAGAGATTCTGCTTTTGAATGGGCTCCAGGTGACAGTGATGCTGCTGGTCCACAGCCCATTATTTTGAGCATCAGGCTTCAGTAGAGACTTTCTCTGTAC